TGGTGCTCCTGACCTCATCCCCGCCACAGGTTGCTGACCCAGCAGCAGTCTGGGACCCTGGGCTGCCTGCACTGATAACTCTCCATTTTTGTTTGTTTTATGTTTTTCTTTTTTACTTAATAGTTGGACTGCAGGTATTTTACTGTACCTAAGAGAAGTGGTTTAAAAATAACCAGTTGATATTTGAACCTCTTTTGGTTTCTCCTCTCTGTGGCCTCTTCTCCCAGCCAGACCGCCAGCCTGCGCCCTGCGCAGATGCATGTGAACTTGTGTCCCTCCTCTCCCATCACACCCTGCTCTCCCCGTCACCTGTTACGGGAGTGTGTGCGCACCTGTGTGCACAGTAGGTGAGCTTCAGAACACTTCTGTGCCCGTGTAGGATTTTGTGAAGAAAATCAGGGTGGCAAACACTCTCCAATACTTCCCAGAGTTTAATGTGACACTTTGGACCCCACTGGGCCATAAAGAGGGAAGGGCCTCAGGAAGTTCAAAGGTAAGCCCACAATCTGAGGAGGGCTGCGCACCTGTGAGCCTTACCTTCCAAGCTGGATCCCTTCCTGTGTGGGCAACATCCACTCACGATCTGATAGAAACCTTAACCAGCAGAGCTTGTTAGCTACAGGTCAGGAAGCCACACCAGTGTGTGGGGCAGGTTGGCACTTGGCTGTCCTTTAGGAAGATTTTAGGTGAAGAGTCACTGCTCTGAATTATCTGAACCAATCCACGTGTTCACTGGGGTCCCAGCACGCAGAATACAGTCCAATGCCGTGACCTGGGACACACTAAGTTTGCTGACCTGGGACACACTAAGTAGATGGGCAGACGGGCTTCCCAGGGCTCCGAGTCTGTGCGGGGAGGAGGGCTGTGCCCTCAGGGGCTCAGGGTGGGCTGCCCACGGAGGAGGTGGGAGCTTCCTAGCCGCCTCCTTGTTGTCCTCGGGAACTGGGTCTCAGAGGCAAAGGGCAGCTGGCAAACCGGCCCCTCTCTGGAAGCCCTGAGACTGAAACCCCAGTCCCACTCTGGCTGATAATGTTGTTGGTTTATAAAAATAATGGCTAGTAAAATATTAATTATATGCTGAGCACTATGCTAAGTGCTTTACAGGAAGTTTTTTCCTTATGATAATTATAAAGGTTAATGGATTTGTCCTCATTTTGCAATTGGGAGATAACCTTAGAGATATATGTGGTTTGCCAAAATCCACCAAGAAATTGTGATGTTTGCTTTCTAATCTGTCTGATTTAGGAGTGCAAGCTCTTAATCATTTAGGTGCAATTTAAGGAAATCGTTGGTTCCTAGTTTCCTCATCTTTAGAATGAACATGTTGAATTTAATCTCTAAGGTGTCAGGGTCTAAGAGTGTTGATGTGATATGATATAACATAATACGCTATAATACAATTTAGCATATTGGGGAATGAGACAGCCCACTTAACTGAATCTGCTGATTCAATGAGGATTATATGTCATGACAATGAGATTATCAGGTTTCAAGGAATGAGTGTGTAAGTCCGTGTGCTTCACTCTCCGAAAGGATTTAAATTTTCAGTGGATATTCTGAAGGCATTTCAGGAGCATACATCCAATGCTCAAAACTAAAACAAAACAATAAATGTGAACACAAATTATGTGTGAGGTTGTGTACAAACCCATGTGGAAAAGATTATGTAGAGCTTCCCTCAAAGAGCTTACTCTAGTAGAAAATCTGTTGTAAAAGGAGGCTGCAGGACTTTCCCCAGGACTTTAGACTGCGTTTTCACATGGATTCTGGAGAACAGCAGTTTCACTTATCTATAGCACACCTGATTAATTAAATCTCCAAACACATATTTTGCTTTCTTTAGTTTCCATTAAAATTAGTTTTAGCTCTTAGTTAACCTGTGCCTGGCAGGGTAATCCAGTTTGATCTACACCATGGGCCATGAACAGGGGAAAACCCTCATATGGTAACAGAGAAGGAGAAACAATATGTTTTGCTGAGTAATTTACTGTAAGACACACGGGCGGAGAAATAGCAGCAAACTAACCCCTACATCACCTTTTCGTTAAAAAATTTAAAAAGCATGGTTGGTATGCAGCCTTATACTGGTTATATTAGTTTCAGGTGTATAATACAGTGATTGAACATTTTTATACCTTACAATGTGATCACCCCACTAATTCTAATAATTATTTGTTCACTTTTTTGACTCTTCTTACATTTGTTTTTAGATTTTAACAGATACATGTTGCTTTAGGTAAAACTGAAGGACAAAACATAGAAAATGCTGGAAGTAACTGGGAGTCTAATTTTAGCTGGGATAGAAGGGGATAATCTGAAAATTGGAATTGTGTCGACAGTGAGATTAGTCTTAAGAGAAATACCAGCAGGTTTTGAATAATTACATGATGAGGATATTTTTGCCTTTGGTTATTGACTCCCATCCAGATTTCTGATATAAGTGATCATAACATATGTGAAAGCGTTCCAACCAATTGATAGAAAAGGATGGTTCTTAGTTTAGAATAGAAGAGAAATGGCGTGGCCGCCACCACGGGGAACCGGAGGTGTAGTGGCTTGGGTCCAGGACCGCCGTTGGAGAGAATGGAGAGAAAACCTCCATCCTCCAAAATGGGAAGATCAGACTCCGGTTGTGGCTTCATCTTCATTTTACATTCTGTATTTTGCCAACTGCCCCCAATTCTTGATCTTATTTTTCTCAAAATCATCTGTGGACATTGAACTGGGTATGTGTTTAAAGCTCCACGTACGTGGACATTGGGGAACTGAAAGTTGATGGCAGGATATGACTTATAAGGTATCATGAAATCGGAGCAGGGGAAGGTTTCTTTGTACTTCATTACCAAAACCCACTGGAAACTCATTTTCACCCCTCCCCCTCGTCAAGGCAGAGGGTGGGATTTGCTCCTGTGCCCTCAGGTCTCCCAGTCCGCATGCCTCTGCTCACACTGCATGGTCATCCAAGAGCTTTATACAGATAATTTTAATTCCTGAGCAGCCTCATGATTTTGATACAGATATGTTTATAGTTTGTTTTACAGAAACTGAGGCGTACACCAATTAAGTGTTGGTAAGGTCATGTAGATGTGAAGTGGTAAAATATTAATTGTATTCTAGGGGTTTTAATCGGGAAATTATTTTATTGCGCTGTAACCTAAATGCAATTATAGTTAGGGGCAGGTGAGGGGCTTTGTTAGTGATTTTTTTCAGACAGACACACATGATGAGGTGGTTTGGCCTTGAGCAGGGATGCCCTCTATCCTGATTACACTAAGCTTCCCCCTCTCCAAAGGATAACCTTGAAATCTGAGCTCCGCTGGGATGCTGGTGGATTCTAAACTCCACCTGAGATGCTCTTGCTGATGACAGTTTTTGCTCCATTTTGAGTCTTTTGTTGTGTTTTGTCTGTTTTTTTAATAGCTTCCTTAAAAGTGATTGGGCCTTCCCAGCCCCTTCTCGTCAGAGTGGGAGAAGACATACAGTTCACCTGCTCCCTGTCCCCCAAGGCTAATGCACGGAGCATGGAGGTGAGGTGGGTCCGATCCCACCGTTATCCTGCTGTTTATGTGTATATGGCTGGAGAACACCTGTCTGCAGAGCAGATGGCAGAATATAGGGGGAGGACAGTGTTGGTGACTGATGCCATCGGCGAGGGGAGACTGACCCTGCAGATACACGATGCCAGGACCTCAGACGATGGGCAGTACCGGTGCCTTTTTGAAAAAGATGGTGTCTACCAGGAGAACAGCTTGGATCTGAAGGTAGTAGGTAAGGCTTCTAGATGGATGTTTTGGTTTCTACTACTTCCGTGTGGTAGTTCTAGAGAATTTACCTGGCATCTGACATTTTCTTAACGTCCATTCACTCATCAAATTTGTATTGAACCCGCTGATGTGCAGTAACTGCTGCAGGTCCTTAATGCCCACAAGCTCAAATGGGCCATATTTAATTCTGTGGCTACAGAATTGCTACCCTTCCCAGGATCTCCATAAAGTGATCATCCATTTAGTGAAATTTGAGAATTTTTCTCCATAACTTTACACAGGACTCACTGTTTCACAGGGTGTTATCAAAATTCTGCAAAATGTGTTGTTCCTGGGAGGTATAATGATTTGAAGATTAAACTAGACCCACATATAAACAAAAATAATAGACGCTGACAGTGTCGGCAGGGTGAAGGAGGAAGGACAGCATTGCTCCCTGCCCCATAATTGCCGCAGTCTATATTTGTGAATGAAAATGGATTTTCCAAAACTAGCAAATGCCATTGAAGACGTAGGCCAACATCTTGGATACTGTACTTGGTTCTCCCATTGATTTTGTGTCTAAATTAATAAACACATTTACGGAATATCCACAGGAGCACATGTGGAGAAGTTGAATGGACTCTATCATTTTATGCCATAGGACATACATATAGGGTGTCCCCCCAAAATGTATACACACTTTAACAGCAGATAGCACAATTTTAAAAATAAAATGTATTTTAATAAGCACTGCCTTTATAATCATTCAGAGTGTGTGTGTACATTCTTGGGGGACACCCTGTATTTATAAGATTTTGATCTTGGAGGCTGTTCTCTCACTCACTCACTCACTCACTCACTCACTCANCATTCTTGGGGGACACCCTGTATTTATAAGATTTTGATCTTGGAGGCTGTTCTCTCCTCACTCACTCACTTCCTCGCCTGCTCAAATCATTTTGTTCTCAGGTACAGAAGAAAAAAGATTGGATTTGAAATTTATTGTATTCTTTAATCTGTCCCAGGATAATTTTAAAAATACAAAAAATGAAATAATAAAAATAAGCGAATAAAACAAAACACTGCTCCAGCTGGTCTCAGCCCTAAGTGGAGTATAACTCCCCCGTAAGCTTTGCTCTCTGCCTTCCCTGCCCATGTGGCCACCTGCAGAGACTGAGGTTTCCTGTCTTGATCTCTGTGCTGCAGGTCTGGGTTCCTCCCCGCGGATCACCCTGGAGGGGCTGAGCGGGGGAGAAATGCGGCTGAGGTGCTCTTCAGAGGGGTGGTTCCCACAGCCCTGGGTGCAGTGGACGGACACGGAAGGAAAGACAGTGCCATCCCTTTCCGAGGTGCTGACTCAGGACAGCCACGAGCTGTTCCAGGTGGAGGCATTTCTACTGGTCACAAACAGCTCTGCTCTGAACGTCACCTGCTCCATCAGCAACCCCCTTCTTGGCGAGGAGAAAAGGGCAACTTTCTCTCTCTCAGGTTGGTGGTGCCATGTCATCCTCGGCTTTGGGAAGTAAATATGAAGACCAACCCAGGCGTTTTGTTTTTCTCATGGTGGGTTTTGTTCTGGATTAGAAACTAATTTTCCTAAACACCACCTTTATGGCTGGGGACTGGGTATTTTTACCCTTTGCCACCCTCGTTTTTCCAATGATTNCTGGATTAGAAACTAATTTTCCTAAACACCACCTTTATGGCTGGGGACTGGGTATTTTTACCCTTCGCCACCCTCGTTTTTCCAATGATTGTGGTAATATAACCGGAAAAGGGAAGGGTAAGAAATGTGTGTGTGTGTGTGAGGGTGTGAATGTATGTGAGCAGGTATATGTGTGTGAGTGTGTATGTGCATATATGTGAGTGGGCGCATGTGACTGGGTATGCGTGTGTGACTGTGACTGTGTGACTGTGTATGTGTGTGTGAATGTATGTGAGTGGGTATGTGTGTGCATGTATGGGAGTAGGTGCATGTGTGTGTGTGTCTGTGAAGAGCAAACAGTAAAGCAGCGTAAACTTCGAGTCTCTCCTCAGCTTCTGCAGAGCAGGGAGGAGCAGCCCAACTTCCTCCCCAAGGCCCGTTCTCAGCCTCCTCTCCAGTTCAGGAGTCGTTCAGATACAGTGGATTATCTTGAAATTTTCCTAGTTTTATGATTTACTGGGATTTTCGGGGTTTCATTTTAGACTCCAGGATGACTTTTTCATGGAAGATGCTGCTTATTCTGGGCTTGATTCTTTTGGTGGCTGTAGGCCTGGTCAAGTGGAAGAGCTGTAGCAAAGGTAAGGCAGGTAAAGAGAGACCCTGGAGCACACCGGGCAGTGGGAACCCCTCTTTCAGGAGTTGCCTATGGCAGTCATTCCGGAGTAGTCAGTAACCCATGAGCACGAGAGTCCACGACTTACATTCAGTAATGGGATCCGTGCTGAGTGAGGTCAGCGTTTACAGTGATGTTAGGAGCAAAAGAATTAAAAGACGACCATTTGATCCCCTAGTGCACATCCCCAAGTGCTCTAGTCAAGGGAGGGGAAGGAAAGAGGTGGCAGGCTGTGAGCCGAGACAGGCGAGATTTGCAGGCAGGCGTTTCGAGAGAACTTGAACTCCACGGTGACTTGCTCACTGGTGATGAAAGACTTCTCATGTACTGATGTGCCCTGGGAAGTTCTTCCACTTTCAACTTCTTATGTCACTGTAACATTTGTTTGCCTGTTTGGGTGTTAATTTCATGAAATTAATATTTTTTAATACTTCACAATATTGCTTATTATCAGAACGGAATTTCTTTCCCTATAGTGAATGTGGCACTGGATCCAAATACAGCCAGCCCAGAACCGACCCTTTCTGAGAGAATGAGACGTGGGACCCATGGACAGTCCTGCAACCAGATGTCCCACAGAGATTTGACAGGCTGCTCCACGCTCTGGGCCAGGAGGGGCNGGGACCCATGGACAGTCCTGCAACCAGACGTCGCACAGAGATTTGACAGGCTGCTCCACGCTCTGGGCCAGGAAGGGTTCGCGTCAGGGAGGTGGTGCTGGGAGGTGAAGGCTGGGGACAGGACGGGGTGGGTCCTGGCTATTGCCAAGGACAGTGTTTTGTCACCTGAGAATGAGTGTGCGCAGTGGGTGGCTATGGACACGAGTACTGGGAATTACGTCTTCTCCAAGCCTCCTCTCCATGAAGATGCCCCAGGATGCGTCAGAATCCCCCTCGACTATGCCTGTGGATGGCTCTTCTTTTGTAACATGATCAAGTGCCCTATCTTCATCTTCTCCCAGCTTCTTCTCTGAAACTCTACACTTCCTAGTCTTTGGCCCCTAATGTAGGCTCTCCCGACACGGTCTCCTTGGATTCTGGAAACCAAAGTTCGATTCCAAGCCCCAGGTTGTTCCTCCTTTTACCTTCAGGTGGGACTCACGAGACACCAGGCACCAGATCAAGAGTGCTTTAACCTCACTCTGGCTTCAGATCCGACCCGGTGACTGAGCCCTTGAGACTAACCTGTCCCAGATTCTCTGATATCTGCCTAATGGTCACAGTCTGATACCTGATGACCAAAGACCCTTAGGAAATCCAATGGAAAATGCAATTTAGAGAAGGACATGCAAGAAATGATCAAGTATTTTCTTGGTTTCTTTAAAAAGGTGAAAATTAATTATCGGAGTAGGGATGAGAAAATGGTAACTACTGTTTAGAAATAGTAAGAGAAAATACAGCTGACTATACAGAGAAAAACCTATCACTAAGATATAATCTAGAAAGTCATACAAAGTGTGAGGTCCCAGACTTTTTCAGAAAGTTAATAGCAAATGTGGAATTTTTAGAAATTCTAGTCCAGGAGAAAATTTAATTATGAAAATGTTGACTTTACTTTTAGAGAAAAATAACACACACAATTTAAAATGAATAATTACAAAATAAATAAATATAAGCAATAAATAACACACAGCAAAAATATTTCAGAGTCATAATAAATTAAAGAAGGGAAGTTGCATGTGGGAGAAGAAATAATGTAAGAAAAGGACTTGGAAAGTCTTAAACTCTCCTGAGGTGAGAGGGAGGGATACCTGCAAGGGACACTCTGCTTCCCAAGCTGTCAGTCATCAGAGTCTCCCCTGTTCTTTAAAGGTCATTCACCTACAGCACTCTGGAGCTTCTTTCTGGTCATAATATTCTTTTCTGTTCAAACTCATAAATTTATGTTTGCAACTATGTATTATCCTCCCACAATTATGTACACATTTATTTTGTTTTTAATTTTTTTCAATTGTGGTAAAATATACATAACGTTTATTATTTTGACCATCTAAAGCGTACAATTTAGTGACGTTTATACTTTCACAATACTGTGCAACCATCATCATGCCCTAGTTCCAGAATGTTTCCATTGCTCCAAAAAGAAACTCGGCCCCCATCCAGCGGTCACTACATACCTTTCCCTCTCCCCAGCCCCTGGCAATGGCTAGTCCACCTTCTGTCCCAATGAATTTGCCTAGTCTCAATATTTTATATAAATGGAATCATGAAATATATGGATATTTTTGTGTCTGGCTTTTTTACTCAGTATAATGTTTTCAAAGCTCATCCATGTTGTAGCATGTACCAGTACCTCATTCTCTTTTTAAGAGCTCTCCTAGGTTTACATCACAATTGAGTGAAAAATCCAGAGTATTTCCATATTCCTCCTCTCTCCCAGCATAGTTTCCTCTCTTATTAACGCCTTGCATTGGTGTGGTATATTTGTTACAATGGATGAATCAATACTGATACATTATTTGCCACTAGAGTCCACAGTTTACATTGTGGCTCCCTTTTTGTGTTGAATATTCTATGGGTCTTTACAAACTATTTACACATTTTTGATACATTAATATGCCCTTATATACCCTTTATGTTTTTGAATATAAATTTAGTAGTAGACAAATTTACTAGTAAATAGGTTACCTTTGTCTTAAAATGTTTTTGACATTATTCTATTTTGATTTAATGTAACTGAAAGTGTTTTATTTAATATCTGGGGGTTAACTGTCTTCATTTTTCTTGTTTTTGTTTGTTTGTTTGCTTTTGTTTTCTTTTAGCCTTTCTCNTTAATATCTGGGGGTTAACTGTCTTCATTTTTCTTGTTTTTGTTTGTTTGCTTTTGTTTTCTTTTAGCCTTTCTCCCTAATCAAACTAAGTCTTTGCTTGTTAGTTGTGTGAACTTGTGCAGATCCTAAATGTTTTTTATCAGTCAAAATTTTTACTATGCATTAAGAAACATATTTTTTCTTTAGCTTCCCAAATTGGGGATTAATTTCCTATCTCACTCCAGCTCCAATTAGAAAACCCACAGAAAAGGAGGATGACTAGTGGCCTGAGTAAGACGCCCCCATCGCTGAAAGAGTCACTGAGGCTGACAGTGAATAATTGGAGGGGCCCACCAAGGACCCGGTTCTCCTGGTGCTTAGACAGTTGGTTGTAGTCATGTAAAGCTCGGCAACTTTCAGAATAGATGTGTGGATTGGATGAATCTTACTTTCAAGGAGAGGACTGGAAGAAAGAGAAACACTAATTTTTTTTCCAGTCCTCACCAGAGGATATCTCTTCCATTGCTTTTCAGAGAAAGTGGAATGGGGGGGGAGGAAGGGGAGAGAGAAACACGGATGTGAGAGAGACACATCGATTGGCTGCCTCCTGCACAGGCCCGACCGGGTCCAGGATCGAGCCTGCAAACCAGGTACGTGCCCCTGGCAGAAGCAAACCCAGGACCCTTCAGCTGCCAGCTGATGCTCTAACCACTGAGCAAAACTGACTCGGGCCAAAGATACTAAATTCGTTAACCTCCCTGCAGGACTTTTTCCTCATTTGTCAGTAGACTATCAGTTCCATTACAGTAGAAATATTCTTCTTTTTTATGTATCCTCACAACCTAGAAAAGCAGCATAAATTAGTTGATCAATAAACATTTGTGAGATGCTTATTCAAACATTTATTGAATCCTTATTTGTAGAATGCACTGTGCTGGGCCTAGAGATAAAATGCTTAATAAGATATAATTTCTGCCCTAAATTTTTTTAGTTTATTGAAGCTTCTTTTGTCGATGTCCTATCATACCTTCAAAAGCTTTATTCAAAATGGGGTTGCCAGAGTAGTTTAGCAAGAAAGAACTAGTGGAATCATATTGTGGATTCAAGGTCATTACTTTGCCCCAAACCACAGGCTACTTGGAGGCCCCTCACTGGGTGCTGATTTGCCCACACTAGAGCTTGGGGTGCTGTGGCCGACGTCGCCCCGGATGTTTCCACAGCTGGTTCCGAAGGGCAGCAGTCCTCACGTTTTCCTTCGCGGTCCACCTCCAGCCCGTGCTCCCGGGCTCCAAGCTTAGGACAAAACCCGCTCAGAATGAGTAGAGAAATGACAGCCGGAGGAATCCTGCTGTAGGACAAAATGAGCATTAATTCCGGTGGGAGAGGCACCAAAAACTCATTTGAGAACCTCATGCTGAATG